TTAATTTCGTAATTGTAGGTACCTAAAATAACACTCCATCTTTGCAATCTACTGGCGGCATAAATTGGGATTCCCTTTTTAGGGCCAAATATATTTACTAATACTTTATTATCACATAAAAGGGTAAAAAATCTACCAAAGAGATAATCATGGAATTTTTTTAAGCAAAAAATTATAGCTGCTCCCTCCTTATCTAATTGGCTGTAAGCTTTTTCTGCTTCTGTCAGAGTGCGCGAGGCATATGCTATAGGACGGGAGTCTCCATTTTGGTAGGTATGCGATATCACCCCTCCTAAAGCATATGAACTCGCATCACAAGCCAAAAAAATTGATAAATCAGGATCATAATGTGCCAGCAATTTTGGAGAAGCTAATTCTTTTTTTATTTGATCAAAACACTGATCTTGCAATTTTCCCCATTTCCAATGTGAGTGTTTTTTTAAAAGGGTGTGTAAAGGATGCAACTTGGTACTTAAATTTGGAATAAATTTACCGTAAAAGTTAACCAAACCTAAAAAAGATTTTAAAGTTGTGATATCAGTTGGTATTGGGGCTTTTAATATAGCTTCTACCTTATCAGATGATGTACTCAAACCAAATTTATTTATGGTATAGCCTAAAAAATTTATTTCTTTTTGAAAAAATGCACATTTAGAAATTTTTATTCTCAACCCACAATCACGCAATTTTTCGAATACTTTAAAAAGGTTTTCTAAGTGCTCTTCAGAGTTTTTTCCCGTGATTAGAATATCATCCAAAAAAATGGCAACGTTATTCATACCTGCAAACATACTTTCAATTATTCTCTGAAAAATAGCCGGACTTGAAGCCACCCCATAAGGAAGCCTGTTCATTTGAAAAAGCCCCTTATGTGTGTTCAAGACTGTCAGAGCCTTCGATTCGTCTGTCAGTTCAATTTGGGCATAGGCCTGGGATAGATCAATTTTACTAAAATATTGCCCCTTGTTTAATCCTACCGACTGCGCCAGTGTAATAATTTGACTTGATTTATAATTATTTAATTTATTTAATTTATAAAATTTATTATTTGCGGGAGAAATAAAACGCCTTATTTCGTTGCTGAATCGTAAGTGAGAAGATGATATATTTCTGGGTACTCACGGTACGGTTAATGTAAACAATATAATAAAAAGCATTGGAATGTATACAGAACGGTACTATCAACTTAAATATAGGGTGAGTTTACCACAAAATATATAAATTAATTAACTGCGTATTATACAGGGTGTTCCTAAATATCATGTACAAACAATAAAGGGTGATTCTTTGTTTTTTTTCAAGACTGAAAATGTTCTAAAAAATTGACTTATTTAAACAAAATTTTAAAAAATTCACCCTCTTACATTTTAATTTTTTTCTGGAAAACTTGCAAAGGGAAAATTTTGATAAGAGGAAAATGGAGAGCTCATTTTAGGAAAATTTCAAAATTTTTCAGTAGAAAATCACTCCAGGAAAAATTTTGAAAAACTAACTTTTTTAAGCAAAATTAAGGAGAATTCATCCTCTTACATTTTAATTTTTTTCTAGAAATCCGGCAAAGGGAAAATTGGGAAATTTTTCCAGAAGAAAGAGAAAAACGAGGAATTCATTATAGAAAAATGTCAACATTTTCCAGTGGAAAATCACTTCAGGAAAAGTTCTGGGAGATTGAATTTTTTAGGCAAAATTCATCCTCTAACATTTTAAAATTTTTCTGATTATTCCACTCATGTGTTAGAAATCCCATAAGACAAGTGACGATTTTCAGAATTACAGCGAAAATTCTCTTTTCCATTTGTTTAACTAGAGAGAATTACAGCGAAAATTCTCCCATGTTATTGTATACATGGTTGTCATGCTAATTTTTGATACAAACAAACGGTTCCTGATAGCAACCATTTATTTGTATTGATTGTTAAGATGTTTACATCGTTTAATACATATTTATTTCCATATTTTTTTGCATTCTCATACGTGAAATAATCCTCTAAATACCACTTGAGCTTTAAAATGAACCAGATAATTTTTCACTCATGCGTGTTTTCTCTGCAAATTTCACTCGTCCTACGGACTCGTGAAATTATAGAAAACACGCAATCGTGAAAAATTATCGGTAATTTTGAAGCTCTCGTGGTATTATCCCCGAAAACACTACTGTGTCCCAACTTTCCTTCATTTTAAAAGACTGGGCTTTTAACATGCGTAAGCAGAACGGCGAAGAATATAAAGATTTCACAATTAAAACGATTTGGAATAGTACAGCTAAATTATTTAAGGAAAAGTATTATAACGAGTATAGAATCAAGATAAACCCATTCGAACAAATAGAATTTAAATCGGCACGAGATGCAAGAACAGCAAAAAGGAGAAACCTACAATGTTTCGAACATAAACGTAAGCAATCTGCAGCTTTTCTAACTTATAATCAGCTGAAAGCACTCATCGATAACTGTGATGAAGAAACACCTGGAAGATTGCAGAAGAAGGTATTTTTCACGCTTTCCTATGAACTTGCTTGGCGTGGTGGTGAAGGCGGACGAGCTAAAATGAGTTTTTTCAAAGAAGAAGTTGACATCAGCGGTACAAAAACTAGAAGAATTGAGTATAATCCAGTCTTCACGAAAACAACACAGGGAGGCGAGAAGAAATGTACAGATTCAAAATGGTTGGTCAAGAACAATTCAAACCCAAGCATTTGTCCTGTGCGTCTGTTTTTAAAGTTAAAAGAAAAGCGTGGAAACCCAAGTAATGAACGACTTTTTTTTAACAGTAAATCCATTGTGGCTATCAGGTGGAAACTGGTACAAGAACAGCCCTGTTGGACCAAATGAGATTTCCAAATGGACTAAAAGTAAAGCAACGCAAGTTGGATTGAAAAATAATAAAAACATATCAAACCATTCATTGAGAGCCATTGCAGTCTCTAAACTAGCAAAAAGTGGTGTCTCGGAACAAAATTTGATTAAAATCACTGGCCATTCAAACCCAAAATCTCTTTCAAGTTATATCCAAATGGACGAAGAACACCATCAGAACATAATAGAAAAAATGCGTGAAACATCAACTGAAACTGCAGTGAATATTCCCAGTAGCTCCTCAATGTCTATGTCTTCAGAAAACCATCAAAATGTTATCCACAATTATCATAGCTGTAATTTCTATTACACAATAAATAATAAATAAATTCTTTTTTAAATTAATCTTAATAAGTTAAGTTGAGTTTTGGTTTAATTTAATAATAAGTTGTTAAGTTGTTCAAGTTCAAATAAATATATTTATTTCCATATTTTTCGCATTTTCATTCGTGAAATAATCCTCTAAATACTACTCGAGCTTTAAAATGGACCAGATAATTCTTCACTCATGCGTGTTTTCTTTGCAAATTTCACTCGTCCTACGGACTCGTGAAATTATAGAAAACACGCAATCGTGAAAAATTATCGGTAATTTTGAAGCTCTCGTAATATTATCCCCGAAAATCTGGCAGAAGGAAAATTGTGAAAGTTTTCCAGAAAAAAAAGAGGAAAATAAAAATTCACCCTCTTACATTTTAATTTTTTTCTAGAAATCTGGCAAAGGGAAAATTGTGAAATTTTTCCAGAAGAAAGAGAAAAATGAGGAACTCATTATAGGAAAATTTCAAAATTTTCCAGTGGAAAATCACTCCAGGAAAAATTCTGGGAAATTGACTTTTTTAGGCAAAATTCACCCTCTTACATTTTAATTTTTTTCTGGGAAACCGACAAAAGGAAAATTGTGAAAATTTTCCAGAAAAAAGAGGAAAATAAAAAGCTCATTATAGCAAAATTTTAAAATTTTCGAATGAAAAATCACTCCATAAAAAATTCTGGAAAATTGACTTATTTAAGCAAAATTAAGGAAAATTCATCTTCTCACTTTTTAATTTTTTTTCTGGAAAACTGGCAGAGGGAAAATTTTGAAATTTTTCCAAGAACAAGAGGAAAGTGAGGAGCTCATTATAGAGAAATTTCGACATTATCCAGTGAGAAATCATTCCAGGGAAAATTTTGGAAAATTGACTTTTTCAAGTAAAATTAAGGAAAATTCATCATCCTCTCATGTTTCAATTTTTTTCTGGAAAACTGGAAAAACAGGAAAAAAAAGGAAAGTCAGGAGCTCATTATAAGAAAATTTCAAAATTTTCCAATGGAAAATCGCTCCAGGAAAAATTCTGAAAAAATGACTTTTTCAAGTAAAATCAAGAAAAACTCATCCTCTCACATTTCAATTTATTTCTGGAAAACTAATGAAGCAAAACTTGTGGAATTTTTCCAGGAAAAAGAAGAAAATGAGGAGCTCATTATAGGAAAATTTCAAAATTTTCTAGTGAAAAATCATTCCAAGGAAAGTTCTGGAAATAAATTGACTTTTTTAAGCAAATTTTATCCTTTCACATTTCAATTTTTTTTATGCAAAACTGGCAAAGCAAAAATTGGAAAGTGAGGAACTCAATATAAGAAAATTTCAAAATTTTCTAGTGAAAAATTACTCGCAAGAAAAGTCGAAAACGAAAGTTCTGGTAAGTTGACTTTTTTAAGCAAAATTCATTCTTTCACAATTAAATTTTTTTTTTGAAAACTGGTAAAGGGAAAATTTTGAAGAATTTCTAGGAAAAAGAGAAAAGTGAGGAGCTCATTATAGAAAAATTTCGAAATTTTCTAGTGAAAAATCTCTTCAGGAAAAATTCAAAGAAAATTGACTCATTTAAGCAAAATTAAGGAAAATTCACCCTCTTACATTTTATTTTTTTTCTGGAAAACTGGCAACGGGAAAATTTTGAAATTTTTACAGGAGAAAGAGGAAAGTGAGGAGCTCATTAGAGTAAAATTTCAAACTTTTCCAGTAAAAAATCACTCCAGGAGAAATTTATTAATATATTTTCGGATAACTCAATAAACTCTATTGTAAATTAAAAAATGTATTACAAAACAATAATTCCGAAGGTGCTCTATGAATTAATCTATGACTTAACTTTTTCTCTAAGTTATAACGTCATTAATGACGTAAGCAAAAACCTTCGTACCGTGCAACGAACTATATGTTTGTTTGAAATTACAGGCATATATAAAAAAACCTATTTTTTCAAAAAAAAAGGCAAATGATGACGTAAGTACAAACTCTCGTGAAACTAACTTTTTTTCACGCGTCTCATTTTCTTTCCAAATACTCGTATTCCTACTTATCAATCAATTTCTCTAGAATTTTGCTTCAATTTCTCTCTCCATTAATTTCTCCGAAAAAAAAAAATAACTTGGAAAAAATAAAATAACCAAAAAAAAAAAGTAAAAAAATTTAATACAAAATCTAAATAAAACAAATAATAATTAATTGGATAAATAAAGCATAAAAAACTGTAAATAGCTTGAAAACTTCCTCCTCCTCAATCAACTCTCCTTATTTCAGGACATAAATCACTGCAACGATTTTTCCAACTTGTCCAGCTGCACTCTCAGAGTCTGATCGTACCCGACTCCCCTGAGCCGTTCGACTTTCACCATTTGACTTTTAACGTCCCCCAAAACAGCCCTAATCTCGCTCGGAACAAACCTACCCAAACACATCATCAATTGAAAATAATTAATCGTATTAAAACCAATATGTTTCGCAGTCACTTCTGAAACTAGTTGCCTAAACTCAGGGCCCACTTGGCGAAATAAAGGCGAATTGGTGATTTGCTTGATTACACCAATAGCGCTGCTTCTTTGAGAATGAAAAATCACTACCTCAAATAAACCAAACAAAGTTGTATTTATTAAATTTTTGAATAATTCTAGGGATGTTGTGCTGTTGGCTACATCTGAAACAATTTTCAAAGCCTTAAGTAAATTCGGTGTATCAGACTCTTTCATTGGAGGCTTGAAAAAGCCCAAACAAATTTTTTCCAAGACAATTGGGGCCATATACGAATCATCCAATGCTTGAACTATAGGCGAATTCAAAATGGGAAATTGAGGCAAATAATTGATAATTAAAGCCTTTAAAATGCGTTCCAAATAAGGATCTTTATTTGGTTTGCTCAAGTTTATTAAGGCTTGGAAAAATGTAGTAAAATAAAATTTAATTGCATTGAGGACGTAACTGTGCAAAGCCCTTTTGCCCAAAGAAAAATCCATAGGCAAAAAAAGCACGTCAATTAATTTGGTTAATAAATTATCAGCCTTATGCGGATTGTAAATTAATTTGCCACAATTTATAAACAATAAAGAGCAATATTTGTAAATTTTCAATACAATTTGCTCATTTGGTGCAACTAATAAGAATTTGCCTAGAGTACTTAGGTTTCCAAAAGCCAAATTACATAAATCAATTGCATCGTTTTTGCCTTGCATAGAAATTGCTTGGCAGAAACTTTCATTTAAATATTCAATGAAAGCTTCTATAGGCTCTTTGTTTGTGGATTCAAGGCAGCTTTTCAAACCCCTTGGAAAAATATCTAGCCTAATAACACTCAAAGTTAATTCAATTTGAGCGTCCACATTCAAAAAACACAACCTAATCCAGCTTTGCATTATAATCCTCTCTTGCTGGGAAGTCAAAATAAGCTTATCCGGATAACTATCCAAAATGACTTTTAAAAACATTGAAGACAAACTTGGCGAAATTGCTTCATCATTGAAAAACTCAAAAGCCTTATTAGCTGAATTACTATAGCTTAATGTAAGCTGTGCAGCTAGTTTGCCTATAATCGCTGGAGCGTTTGGTTTTAAAGCTAATTGCTTCAAATTCCCAAAAACAATGTCCTTGAAAAACCATTCCCAGCAAGGCCACGAGTCTGGATCGCTGCACTTGTCCAGTAACAACTGGATCACTTTCAAGGAGTGAATCAAATCTGGATGGTAGCAAGTGGACTGGTATTTGCCCAGCCAAACTCCGAATAGTTGCCATTGGTGCAATCGCATGTTGGAGCTGTTGGTGATTATGGATTCCAGGTTGACGACGAAGTCTTTGATCAGGTGAAATTGTTTTTGGTTGGTGGAAGCTTCGTGGAGGAGAGGGAGCATGGCGCGGGCCGGTTTTTCAACCGAGTGATCTTCTCGGACGTATTTTAAAATCTGAAACAAATTATTGTGTAGATTTTATTCACCCCAAAATTGGTTAACTAAGGTTGCCAGATTTGCGAAATTGAAAAGCAGGAGGTAGTGAATGGGAGGGAAAAATAATTTTTTTGAGGTGCCACGCCCTAATTTTGTCACATTTTATTATATACTATACAGAGTGTACGAAAAGTAACGGGACGGTACATTATCTCTGAAACCAGTGGTGCAATTTCAACAAAACTTTCAAGCTACATATTTTTGGAACCAGACAAAATATCGCCCTCCGGTTTTCACGGGCTGACAGATTGACTTTTTGTGAAAAAAATTGCTATAATGGAAACCAGAAGTGAATATTTTGATTCCAAACATATCGAAGCGAAATTTTCCTCCGAAAGCAATTGTCCAGCAGTTCAGTTCTTACAAGAGGAGAGAATCGCCCTCTAGCGGCTAAACGGTTGAAGATATCAAAATGCAGTTTGCACCAATCAAAATTTCATGAAATTTAAGCCTCAGAGTGGGGGGTTCATTTTTTTCTATCTCTAAAAATAAAGGATGTTTCCATAAGAAAGTGTCCAAATTGGCCCACCCTGTACACAGATTTTGACCAATCAACCGCTCCGAGATTTAGATAACTCTATAAAATAATGAACACATATTTTAAATCTTAATTGATTTTGAACGATTTTGGAAATTTTGAAAATCTTTACACGATTTTACAGAGTTCAGAAGATTTCAGATTTTCAAAATGTTGGGTGATTCTGGAGCATTTTAGGGGTTTTTAGAGATTCTAAATTCAAATGACAAATTTGAATGGAAAAACGGAAATTCCTAGACATTTTACTTTAGAATTTCATAATACTTTTCCGAATTTCACTCTGAATTTAATCATATGATTCTATGGAATTCCACCATAAAATTCAGTATCTTGGTCAAAAATTCCTCGGAATTACACTACTTATGAGATTTCATGAAATTCTTGGGCATTCCACTAAAATTTCAAGTTATTCCATGGGAATTCTGCGAAAATTTCTGTTAATTCCATAGAAATTCCTTAGAATTTCGCTAAATTTTATAAAATTCCTCGAAATTCCATTCGAATGACAAATTTGAATAGAAAAACAGAAAGTCCTAGAAATTTTACCATAAGATTTCATAATACTTTTCCGAATTTCACCATAAGATTCCATGAAATTCCACCATAAAATTCAATGAAATTCTTGTACAAAAATTCCTTGGAATTACAGTAAAAGATTTCATAAAATTTCTCGGAATTCCACTAAAATTTTATGAAATTCAACAGAAATTACTCAGAATTTCATTGTTTAATTCAATTCTTCGCCGAAATTTCTCGTGGTTCCATGGAAATACCACGAAAATTCTGTTTAATTCCAAGGGAATTCTTCGGATTCTATGTAATTTCACTGGAATTCCACAATAAGATTTCAAGGAATTCCATGTAATTTGATGAGAATTCCTTGGAATTTTACTGTAAGTCGACAAAAAGTGAAATTTATATAATTTGATGAAAATTCTGGGAATATTTCATAATTTTTTTTTTTTTTTTTTTTGAAATCAGACTGAATTTCTCCAAAATTCTAAAGAAATTCCGAATTTCATAATTTTTTTAAAACTTTACTGAAATTCCCCAAAACTTCACCTCTGAAATATCCTGGAATTCCACAAAATTTTCATAAAATTTTTCGAAATTTCACTGACATTTCCTGTAATTTCTTAGAAATTCCTCGGAATTTCACTAAAATTTTATGAGAATTTTTTCAAATTTCACTAAAATTCCACGTTATTAGTCGAAAATTTCTCGAAATTTCGATGAAACTTTAAATGTTTTGTCAAAATTTCATTTATTTGAATTCTCTTTCAATAGTCAGGAATTTCTGGGAATATTAATGAAACCTAAGTAATTTCTTGAAAATTCACCGAAATTTCTCCGAACTATATTGAAATTTCATATCATTACATGGGAATTTTTCCAAATTTCACCGAAATTCCAAGTTTTTAGCCGAAAATTTCTGGGAATTCCAATTATGAATTTTTTTTTAAATTTTACTAAAATTCAGTAATTCGATGGGAATTTTTCGGAATTTCACTGGAATTCCTTACGAAACGATAAGAGTTGTTCAAAATTCCACTTAAATTTCATGTAATTCCCTGACAATTCCTTAAATTTCCCGGGAGCTCCATATAATTCGACGAAAATTCCTTGGAAATCATGTAATTTCTTGAAACTTTTTTAAAATTCTCTATGTAATTTAACGAGCACTGAAATTTCATGTTGTGAATTTTGGTGTAATTCAATGTAATTGTTTAGAATTCCTCCATGCAACTCACTCAGGATATCATGTAATTCGATCGAAATTCCACTGAAATTTCATGTAATTTCTCGAAATTTCATGTAATTCGAGAGGAAGTAAAATTTAATGTGATTTCTATGGAAACTCCGCAAAAATTTCACATGTCACACTTCACACCGTAAAATTGAATGGAATTCTTGGATTTTTTTTTTCTTCGGATTTACAATGTAAGATTTCATGAAATTCTTCGGAATTCCACTAAAATTTCAAGTTATTTCATAGGAATTCCGCGAAAATTTTAGTCAATTCCATCGAAATTCCTTAGAATTTCACCAGAAGATGTTATGGAATTCCATTCAAGTAATAAATTTGAATGGAAACACGTAAATTCCTAGAAATTTTACTATGGGATTTCATAATACTTTTCCGAATTTCATCATAAGATTCTATGGAATTCCACCATAAAATTTAATGGAATTCTAGCAGAAAAATTCCTCGGAATTACACTATGAGATTTCATGAAATTCTTCGGAATGCCATTAAAATTTTAAGTTATACCATGGGAATTTCGTGAAAATTTTAGTTAATTTCATAGAAATTCCTTAGAATTTCACCAGAAGACTTTCTGGAATTCCTCGAAAAAACGGAAATTCCTAAAATTTTACTAATTATAAGATTTCATAATATTTTTTCAAATTTCACCGTAAGATTTCATGAAATTCCACAATAAAATTCAATGGAATTTTTGAACAAAAATTCCTCGGAATTACCTACACTATGAAATTTCATGAAATTCTTCGGAATTCCACTAAAATCTCAAGTTATTCCTTAGGAATTTCGCGAAAATATTAACTAATTCCATAGAAATTCCTTAACCAGAAGATTTTATGGGATTCTTAGACAAATTTTTTTCGGAATTATAGTATAAGGATTTTTAGAAATTCCTCAGAATTCCATCAAAATTTCAATTTCAAAATTCTATAATTCTCCAAAATTTCACCACTGAAATATCCTGGAATTTCACATAATTTTTATAAAATTCTTCGGAATTTCATTGAAATTTCATGAAATTTCTCAAAAATTCCTCGGAATTCACTAAAATTTTATGAGAATATTTTAAAATTCCACATTCATAGCCGAATATTTCTCGTCCAATGAAACTTTAAGGAATTTTTCAAAATTTCATTTATTTTCATAAGAATTTTTCGGAACTTCACTGAAATTCTCTTTTAATAGCCAGGAATTTCTGGGAATATTAATGAAGCTTCAAGTAATTTCTTGAAAATTCACCGAAATATATTGAAATTTCATGTCATTACATGGGAATTTTTCGGAATATCACCAAAATTCTATGTTTTTAGTCGGAAATTCCTTGGTATTCCACTTGTGGAATTTTCTGAAATTTTACTGAAATTCAGTAAGAACTGAAATTTCATGTTGGGAATTTCGCTGTACCTAATTTCATATAATTGTTTAGAATTCCTCCATGCAATTTATTTAGGATTTCGTGTAATTCGTTCGAAATTTTATGCAATTCGAGAGGAACTAAAATTTAATGTGAATTCTATGGAAACTCCGCAAAAATTTCACATGTAATTCCTTTTTCAGAATAACATAATTCTACCGAAATTCCTCGAAATTCCACTAAATTATGGAATTCTGAGAGACTTTAACAGATTTTTGGGGATTCCAAAGGATTTTTGGGAATATCAAAGGAAATATTTTTCAATAATGTTAATGATTTTATGAGATTTTGCAGGATTTTTTTGGTTTTAATGATAGATTTTGAAGGATTTTATGCAATTTCAAGAGATTTTGTGGGATTTTGTTAAATTTTTAAGGATTTCAAAGATTTTTAGGGATTTCGAGTAGATCTTATGAGATTTTCTGGGATTTTGACCAACTTGTACACGGATTTTGACCAGTTTACCACCCCTCATAGACAACTTATATTTAACCCAAGTAAGTTGGCAGCCAGCCCACTTACTTGGATCTTAGGACTTATCCTGGACTTGGATAAACAGTTGATACGATCCAAGTAGCTTCCAAGTGAGGCGTGCGCAGCGTCCAAGACTCCATATTTGGACCGTGTAAACCGAACCTGGCTTAAATAAAGTGGAGTTTGGCAGAGCTGGCAGAGCCTGTAGTTCTGTCTTCGTTTGGAATGGGAGATGAAGAAAGATGCAAATAATATTATCAAAGTGCGCCCGCCGCTCGACGTTAATCGAAGCTGCTCCAGTTGCGTTGGGTTGACAGATTTATAATGAAGTATTAAAATTACGGTAAAAATAAATAGGGCACCTAATTCAGAATTATATTTCATGTAATTTCTATTTTTGAAAAAAAAAGGGAGGTTTAGTAAAAAAGCGGGAGACTCCCACCTAAATCAGGAGGCTTGGCAACCCTCTGCTTAACATGATATTTTCCCTTTACTTATAAGTCCAAATGGGATGAAATTTTTAGGGTTTGTAAACCCCTACTTACTACAGACTGAGAATGATAGTGCAACTGTAACAAAAACTCAACTACTCACCACAGCAGCGTACATATTCCAAATCAACCCGCTCATCTTCTTCTCCTTTGGCAAACCATCCAAAAACCCCAACATCTTCTTCTCAACATCTTCAAACTGAATACTGCTCAAAGCCAGAAACAACACCATCACATGCCTTATCCCAATCTCAGTCAAATCTTTAACTTTATTAGGCCCCAATTGTGAATAAATCCTGCCTTTCATTTTACCCCAGTGTATTGGAAATTCTTTTAAATGAAACACCAAAAGCCCTACAAATATTTCAAAATCCTCCAAACAATCTTTGGGGTTATATGTGATTGTATCCAGGGTTTCAATAAAACCTAAGGCAGTTAAGTTTTGGCAATTTTTATTGGACACATTGAGGCGTTTGCTGTAAAAATCCCAAACCGTTTGATACAAGTCTAGTTTGCCTTCTTTTAGCCATAATTCGCAAACTAGAGGCTCTATTAGTTTGAAGCTTGTTGTTAGTTGATCACTAGTGGCTCCATTAAGGAGTTGTTTGAATTTTAATTCTAGAAAATCATAATTTGGTTGTATTCGGTTGGATTTTGGTCCAACATCTTGGAATTTTTGAATGGTTGCCAGTTCCTTTAGGTGGCTGAGGGCAATGAATGGGTCTTCATTTGCTAGTGTTTGATTGAATATTTTCCAAAATTTTTCAGTGTCTGATTTTTCAATTAGGAGTTGAATCGATAGCCAGAAATGTTGCATGCAATTACAAGTTGCTTTGTACAAGGGCAATATGTTTTTGAATAAATATTCTAGCTGTTTTTCATCAGGTGATAAAAGTGTTATGTAGTAATTGATTTCCAAAAGAGTGTGCAAATAAATGTAGTACGGGGATAATTCTTGGGTTGAAAATATGAGTTTTCTTAAAATAATATCACTTAGCTGTTCGATTGGAACAATTGTCGAGGTAAAAGTTTTCAATGTTTGCAAACTTAGCTTGTTATAAACAATAGCGGCAAAGGCTTCGTTAATAAACTCCCTAGAAGATTGCAAATCTTCCAAAGGTATATTCAAGTTGTTTAAGACTGCATCTTGAATACAAAACCATCTTGAACGCATCAAACGCACTATAACTTTATTGTCTTCGGTAATTTCAATGTTGTTGTAAAAATGTTCGCCGATTTTATGGGAATTTAATGGGGAAGGATTTTGGGTACTTAATAAATTTATGGGGGTTCTTTTGTTGCATTGAAACAAAACGTTTTTGGACATTATTAATAAATAAAGAAATAATAATAAACTTTTGTAAGGTTATGTTGAAATATGTAAACAAACAAAAATTACCGGCCATTTTCAAAATTCATTAGTTTGACGATATAATAATAGATGGCGCTAGTTGTTCTATGTGAATTAAATTATCAAGATTTTTCTTTTTTTTTTGATTAAAAGGTTTTATTTCAGTTAAAAATAAGTGTAGTTTTATACAGAGCTCATATTATCGAATAAATTGGTATCAAAAAAGGCCTACCTTGCGATTTACATGACCCAAGTAGCCGAGCAGCCCACAAAGTCCAAAAAACACGTAATATTTTCTAATTGCTTTGTGCCTAGTGTGCCAATCAAAACACTTAACACCCCGAGGAACACTTTTCCGCAATGAAATCGCCCGAAAAACTAGAAAGTTTTGAAAAAAACCTAGGAGAAACACCATATTGAAATTGTAGATAAGATGGCCGCCAGTTTGGAGATTTACAAAGCCTACTTGGATTGAGACATGCACAAGATGAGAATTATTATAAAATAATTTTCATTGTAGAATAATAAATATAAATAAAAATTAAATAATTAACTAACTCTTAGCATGGTTTTATAATTATTATTGGATAAATTAACATAAAGCTTAATTTGAAAGAGAAATAACTTCTCCACTAAACTGGCGCCATCTAACCACATAACAACAAACTACCTCTTCCACTATTTCAGTCTTCAGTACCTTTTTCATCTACACAGTTAAATAATACAATTTATAATTAAAATACAATAATTATTTTTGCACATTGCACAGTAAAATTATTGTAACATTGATATGAATTAAAAATATCACATTATTATTATTTGCCCTTGATACTATCTCTCATATGCCAATCAATTCCATCACAAGGCAACTTGCTTTCTATAAAAGGGCTGAGCCATACAAAGTACCATTTATCGCCCAAGACTATTTTCAAATTCCCAATTATGCCATAATCATAAGCACTCAATTTGTGATTTCTTTCATGTGTTACCAATCCTTTAAAAATCAAATTTATATGATAGCACAACAAGGTCCCTGTAAAAGCACCCCCTAACAATACAATAATCATAAAGGACACATAAGCTTGATTTTCTGTCCATTCCATAAACAATACAGCTAAAGGAAATACTATTTTAACAAACGAGATCCAAGAGTCTAGTTTTATAAAAGTCCAAATGAATTGTACATTGAAATAACTAGAGTACATTGTAGCTAGAAAAATGTACAACAAAAACACTAAAAAATATCTATGATTATAATGTCCAATGCAGCAACTGGTGAATAGACAATGATGGTCTCGCTTGAGGATGCAAACATCGCAAGTGGGGCAGTGCCATGACCTCGGGGGGGCCATAGTTTCGCAGACCGAACAAAATCTCCAATTTTTACCACCTTCCGATGGCAAGATCTTACCACTTATACTAGTATCAATTAACATAATTGCCATCAAATTTGAGCACAAATTGAAAAGGATAAAATTTCCAGTGCAAAAGTGGAAAATGTATGACAGATGCCAGGGCTTGTGGAACTTTGGCAGTACTATCCAGAGTTCGAAGTAGTAGATGATCGGGATTATTGTGAACAAAAATGCGGTCACTAAGGCGTCCGGAATTGATTTCGGATAGATTTTTAGTCGGAGTTGCATTTTTGATTGTTGTGATTGAAATTAGTGAGGTTATTATTAGCTTTGTTTAGGTTCGAAATTTGGAACGGTTCTGGGATTGCGCAGAACTGCTTGCGCCCAAAAAATAATGGAAGACTGTTCTAAATTCTGAACCGATTCGGAACCAAAAAAAACCGAAACAAGTCGCTGAAATCACAAAAATTCCAAAACAGTTCCTCCTTCAGAGCAAGAACTGAGAGAACCATTCTAGAACAATCCCAGAATTGTTCTTATAGTTCTAAATAAACCAAAACGCAGTTCGATTTTCGATTACAATATGTGTGAAATAGTTATTAGAGGGCGCTTCGGTACTTGGCCAAACTTAAGGCCGAAACCCACTAGCAACACGCCACGCCATACTACGCCATGTGACACAGGTTCACGTGGGACAGTTTGTGTGTAAATGGACGGATGGCGTGGCGTGCCTTGACGTGGTATCGCGTGTGGCAAGTGTGTACGCGGCACATATAAATAAATGGAAAAATATACGCATACATTTTCGTCACATGGCGTGGCGTGGCGAAGCATGACGTGCGTGTTGCTAGTGAGTTTCGGCCTTTATTAATTTTCAAATCAGCCTATAAGCAGAAGTAAAGTAAGTCAGTTCATTGAATATTAGAGTTGTTCGAACAGTAACAATCAAAGCAGTGCAAACAGAACAGAGTTAGTGCAAATGGAACATGAATTCAAAGCAATTGGAACACTTTGAGTAACTCGAACAATAGAAGGAATTAAGCCTAGTACTCATAACTGCGAAATTCGCATTTTTTGACATTGCTTCGTCAATTTGACGTTTGATACACGCATAAAACATCAAATTGTCAACGAAATGTCAAAAAAATGCGAATTTCGCAGATATGAGTACTAGGCTTTAAAAAAGCAGATGGAATACTTAGAATAATTTAAATCGAGTTAGTGCAAACGGAACAAAATTAAAACAGTCAAAGTAGTTCGAACAGTTGAACAGATAAAAAAAAGTCAATGCACTTGGAACAGTCAGAGTAGAATTTAAAAACCCAAAATTAATTTTCAAATCAGCCTACTGTTAAATAGGCTGTTCATTTGTACTACTTTTCTTGCTTCAAGAGTCGCTTTCCAGTATGCACATTGGCGCGCTCCAGAGCACCTCGGGGGCTCCACGCACTAGATTTGTACCGTTCCAGTATCATGGCGTGAGACGCCTGTCTTAGTGTCAAATATGTCAAATTTTAAAAATAATTATCTGTTTGTGCAGTTTGTTTTTTTATTTATCAAAAATGAAAGAGAATCAAAACTATATATTTTAAAATGTTCAATCTTGAGATATAACAAGAAATAAATAGATAAATAGCCACCCACAGATGTGACAGCTGATAGGTTGACGCGTACGTACAGCTCGGGGGCTCAACGCCCCGAGTAGCTCCGGGCGTCACACTCCCATACTGGAAAGCGGCTAAGCAGATCTCAGCAGCTGATCGAGGTTCACTTGTCCAGCAAGTACAAATGAACAGCCTTACCTATAGTGAATAAATTCCTTGTTTAGTAGTAGCTTATTAAAGTAGTTCGAACAGTAACACTCGGAGCAGTGCAAACAGAATTGACTTAGTGCAGATAACACACGTAATTATATAGCAATTGGTACACTTTAGAGTAACTGGAACAATAGAAGCAATTCAAATGGGATTAGTATTGAATTACGCTATATTTGCAAATTTGCATTTCTGCAAATATGGCCGACTTGCATATGTGCTCTATTTGCAGGAACAAGCAAATCACAGAAAAAAATCTGCAATATTCCATGATATTTATCGGAAAAGTGTTTGGGCGCTACTGATTTACTAGTTTGAAATGTCAAAGTTGTCAAAATGACTACAAGAACCGTCTGGCCACGCGTAAATTTGCAGGCGACTTGCATATATGCATTCTGCATCTATAATACAGAAAGTCAGACTTGCAGGTCCTGCATTATTGTATCTTGCTGTTGTAGAGCTTCTGTAATTCAGCGTTTAATGCAAAGGGAATGCTTTAGAGTAATTTAAATCGAGTGCAAATGGAGCAAAATTAAAATGTCATTGTCAGAAAGAGTCAGTGCACTAAAAACCAAAAATTAATTTTCAACTAGGTCTGATGTTATATGGATAAATTCATTGTTTAGTAGCATATTAGAGTAGTTCGAACAGTAACAATCGGAGCAATGCAAACAGAACAGAGTTAATGCAGATGGAACAGAAACTTAAGCAATTTGTACATTTGGAGTAGCTCGAACAATAGAAAGAATTTAAATGGAATTAAATGCAAATCAAATGCTGAGAGTAATTTAAATTGAGTTAGTACAAATGGGACAAAATTAAAACAGTCAAAATAGTTCGGGCAGTTAAACAGATCAAAAAGAGTCAGTGCTCTTAGAACAGTCAGAGTAGAATTACGAAAAACCCAAAATTAATTTTCATATCAGCCTAATGTTATAGAATTTTTAATACCTTTTTAGAAGTACCAGTCGTTCTAGTGACTAAGCGTACGTCGATTCTTGAGCAGACAAATACGTATTAGCAATCGACATTCGTTTTTGTTGGAATATGTTTTGTTTCATCTGATTTGTGATGGATAAATAAATATGGGGTTATTTTTAATGGGTCTTGAAAATACTATATATTTAGTAAATATTTTAAATTCATTGTTTAGTAGCATATTAGAGTAATTCTAACAGTAACAATCAGAGCAGTGCAAACAGAACAGAGTTAGTGCAGATGAAACAGGAATTATAGCAATTGGAATACTTGGAGTAACTCGAACAATAGAAGGAATTCAAATGGAATGCTTCAGAGTAATTTAAAACGACTCCGTGCAAATGGAACAAAGTGATAATGTCATTGTCAGAAAGAGTCAGTGCACTAAACACTAAAAATTGATTTTCAAATCAGCCTACTGTTATAAGGTATAAGCTCTGTTTCTGCAGAAATCACAACAGTTAAAAACAGAACCAGTCAGAAAGCTAGTTTCAAGCAATGAAATTCACTCTGACTGGTTTGTGATTTTTATAGAAACAGACCTTTTGTGAATAAATTTATTGTTTAGTAGCATATCAGAGTCGTTCGAACAGTAAGAATCGCATCAATGCAAACAGAACAGAGCTGCTTTCCAGTATGCACATTGGCGCGCTCCAGAGCACCCCGGGAGCGCCATGCACTAGATTTGTACCGTTCCAGTATCATGACATGTGACGTTTGTCCGTACGTATAGCTCAGGAGCTCAACGCTCTGAGTAGCTTCGAACGTCACACTCCCATACTGGAAAGTGACTCAGAGTTGTGCCTCATTCTCACTTGCGCGAATTTCGCTCTTTTCGCGCGAAATTCGCTCTTTTTTTGACATGGCTTCAACAATGTGACGCGTGTATTAAACGTCAAATTGTTGAAGAAATGTCAAAAAAAAGCGAATTTCGCGGAAGTGAGAATTAAGCTTTAGTAGTCGTAAAGTAATTTCTTACACTAGCCAAGAGATGTCTCTGAAACTCTGAATCTATTTTTTATTCCGGAGCACGTTTGGTTTCCCATTTGTCGTCTCAGTGCAGCACTTAGAGCGCACGAGAATTTTTCTGGTGCTGTCAAAAACGCACACCGAACTTTGTTCAATTTGTTGAAACTGGTTCAAAACTGTATGTTCTCGCGATGAATCCATGACGTCACATCAAAATTGGTTCAAACCATTTCGAAATACAATCCAATCCAAGTTTTAAACCAATTTTCTCGTGCCGAGAAGTAATGACGTAATTGTGAAACTGTGCAAATGGAATATATAAATTTCCCTGAGTACACTTCCGTTTAACAAATGGAAAGTGCCATAATTTTGTTGCCGGACCAATTTAGGACATACACGTTCAGTGCATAAAGAAAGATGGAATGATATGACGTAACAGTGCAATAGCTTTGAGTAAACTTTAGTTCGGACAGTTGTACAGATCAGAAAGAATCAGTGCACTTGGAATAGTCAGAGTAGAATTACTAAAAACCCAAAATTAATTATCAAATCAGTCTACTTTATAAGTTGCATTCCTTTCAAGGAGTAAAGAACACTAGAGCCCGTGACGTCACGGACCTGTTCCGGAGGTCCTTCTAGGTGTGAAAGGAATACAACCAATGTGAATAAAATCATTGTTTAGTAACATATTAGAGTTGCTAGAATAGTAACAATCAGAGCAGTGCAAGTAAAACAGTAGTTGTATTCCTTTCAAGAGTTTGAAACACTCGAGCTACTCGTTCCGGTGCTTAGTAGCCCCCCGATTTACAGGGAACAGATGCGTGGTGCAACTAAAACTTTTCGAAAGGAATAGGCGCGTGAGGCCCCGGAGCTGTTCCGGAGCTCCTCCTACATGTGAAAGGAATACAACTAGTGTAAAGCCTAGTACTCATAACTGCGAAATTCGCATTTTTTTGACATTGCTTCGACAATTTGACGTTTGATACACGCATTAAACGTCAAATTGTCAACGCAATGTCAAAAAAATGCGAATTTCGCAGTTATGAGTACTAGGCTTAAAGCTTAAAGCCTAGTACTCATAACTGCGAAATTCGCATTTTTTTGACATTGCGTTGACAATTTGATGTTTTATGCGTGTATCAAACGTCAAAAGGTCGAAGCAATGTCAAAAAAATGCGAATTTCGCAGTTATGAGTACTAGGCTTTAGGGTGGGTATTTATAAAACTGTTCTGACAGTTAACTTAAAGTTAAATTTTTGAATTACATGTAATTCCAGAAGTTAACTTTAAGTTAACTCCTTTGTTAACTCTCAAAGTAGTTTTATAATACCCGCTCTTAGTGTAGTAAACAGGGATTAAAGCAATTTGAACATTTATGGCGTTTTCGATTGGTAGATTTACTAGATTTAGTGCAGAACTAGTGCAATTTTTTCTATTTTTCTCTTTTTCTTCTACAGATCGATTAAAAGGATTCCTAATACACTCAGTGCGCACTGAATCTACCAATCGGAAACGCCATTAGAGTAACTCGAACAATAGAAGGAATTCAAATAGAAATAATGCAAATGGCATGCTTTAGAGTAATTTAAATCGAGTTAGTGCAAATGGAACAGAATTAAAACAGTCAAAGCAGTTCGAACAGTTCAAAAGATTAAAAAGTGCGCCAAAATTTAAAAAGTACCAAGTACAGAAGCGCCCTCTACCCAACTCAACTTTGAATATTACTTGCCATCACAAATTTCAAAAAAGAAGAAACCTACTTACTACTAAGTAATATAACCTCAAATTTTTCAAATTGTTTTGTTTACAAACAAACAATTTATTGAAAATTCAATTAATGTTAATTAATTAAACAATTTACAATGAAAAAAATAACGTTTGGTAAAATAAGCGCCAACATTGGCCAAAGTTCCTCGTCGACCCCACCGACTGGTATTATAGGCACTTTTGGCCCCCCGAAAGAAATAGAAGTCCTACAAGACGACACAGAGGCCCAGCAAGTAAAAGAAGTCATGGGTATCACGGGATTCGGTAAAAAAGCAAAAACTTTCGACATAAAAGTAAAAATTCACAAAAACTCATAAGTTTTATTGTTAAAATTGTATTTTGTAACAACAGGAAATGATGTCACAAGTTAAAGCCACCGCCAGAGAGATAACGAAAAAGCCCGAAGAAGACTCTCCAGAAGATTCAAGCAGTGACGAAGATTTAATCGGCCCCCCATTGCCAGCTAACTTCAATACCCAAAAAAACAGTGATAGCGATAGCGACAGCGAAGAAGACCCTGAAGATGAACATTTTATGCCAATCAAAAACGAAACGTCCATGAGGCATGGCAACAAAGCAATCACAGCCCTCACAATAGATCCCAGTGGGGCCAGATTAGCTTCAGGCTCTGTAGACTACGAAGTCAGCTTTTGGGATTTTGCCGGCATGGATTCTGGGCTGCGCAGCTTCAGAACCCTCCAACCAGCGGACAACCACCCTATAAGAGCCCTACACTACTCGTGCACAGGAGATTTGCTTTTGGTAATATCAGGAGCCAGTCAAGCCAAAGTAATTGACAGGGATGGTTTTGAGAAACTGGAAACGGTCAAAGGAGACATGTATATAACTGATATGGCACAAACAAAAGGACATACTGCTGCTTTGTTGGCTGGCAGCTTCAATCCTTTAGCTAAAGAGGAGTTTTTGACTACAAGTTCTGATGGGACTGTGAGGACTTGGGATTTTTATTCATTTGGTAAACAGCATAAGCAAATAATCAAATGCAGAGCTCAAAATGGTTTAAAAGTTTCTCCTACAGCTGTCACTTATAATAAGGAAGGCAAAGTTATCGCTTGCGGTTGTGCTGATGGTTCCATACAACTTTGGGACTTTAGAAAGAGCTCTGTAGCACCAGCTAAGCAATTGAGAAAAGCCCATCAACCTGTTGAAATATCTAGTATTGCTTATTCTCATGTAGGTGATCATTTGTTGACAAGAAGCTTAGATGAAACCCTCAAATTATGGGATTTAAGAAGCTTTAAACAACCTGTTAATGAAATAGGGGGTTTATTTGCTAGATATGATACAACTGATGCTATTTTTAGCCCTAATGATGCAGTTGTAGCAACTGCAATGTCACTACACAGAGGAGAAAAGTTGGGGAAGGTTAACTTTTATGATACTAAAAGTTTTGAATTGATAAAATCACTACCAGTGACTTCTTCTCATACAATTAAACTCAATTGGCATCCTAAATTGAATCAGATATTTATCGGTACTGGAGATGGGGCTGTCAAGTGTTTCTATGATGAAAATAAGAGTCTAAGAGGGGTGACATTGTGTGTGGTGAAGGTAGGAACAATTATTCTAATTAGAATAAAAAATAATTAGTTGTTTATAGTCCCATAGAAGGGCTCAACATTCTGAAGTAGTCAGCAGTCAGCAAGTTATAACGCCTCACGCTTTGCCCTTATTCAGACAAGAACGTAGAAAAACCAGCAGAAAACAAATGGAAAAAGACAGATTGGACCCGGTCAAATCGAAAAGACCAGATTTGCCCATTACATCTGGACAAGGTAATTTGGCTTATTAATATAGACCTCAAATAAAATAGGCAATTTTTTAGGTGGCAGAGTCGCTTCCAGTGGTGGTACTCTGAGCAGTTTTGTGATCAGAAATTTGGGGCTAAGCAAACGAGTCAATGACGATCAAGATCCGAGAGAGGCTATCTTGAAGTTTGCCAAAGATGCTGAAGAAAATCCATACTGGATCGCACCGGCTTATGCCAAAACTCAACCGAAACCTGTTTTAGCTGTACAACAGGACGACAGCGACGATGGCGAGCCAGATAGTAAAAAAACCAAACAGTAATTGTTTAAAGTACTACTTTTATGAATAGATTCAATTGAGTACCCATGTATTTTAAAGAAATCTGCAACTAAAGTCTTACAGATTCCTGTAATATGTAACGTAGCCCTTTAAAAATGTCTGGTTATGTTTTGTTGTCACATAAAATAAATTTGAATATTTATAAATTATTTATCGGAAATTGGTGGATTTCAAGCTTTGATCTTGAACTTTCCGACCTCTCGGGGAATGGCCGGATTACGATAAAACCGAGCTGATAGCGTGTCGTTTATTTTTAAATGAATAAAACGGAGGTGTGCGGTCGACCAGCCTCTTTATAGGCCAAGCTTTCGGAAAAGAGGCAAGTGCTTTTGTTGTTTTTATATTTTTATGCGGTCTATTAATAAAACTGTCCGTGCTATAGACGATTGATTTATCTATTACCTTGAAAAAAAACCAAACAATACACCTTGGAAATTGTATTTGTGAATGATGTAAGTTGATTTTTATTTTCAATTTCTCCTATATTGATTTTTTTTTTTTAAGTAAATTCCAGTTTTGAAATGAACCAAGAAGAACAGCTGGTTGGTGTAATTGATGCCGGTACTAGAACCGTAAAGTTTTGCGTTTTTGTTAGTCAGCACAATAAGGAAATTGCTGAGTATGCTATTGATTTGGAACCCATAACGCCTCAGGAGGGATGGTCAGAACAAGATCCATTGAAAATCTTAGAAGCGGTCAAATTGTGTATGCACAAGGTTGTCGATATTTTAGGACCAAAAAAGGGTAATTTTTTTGTTTTAGTTAACAATTTTCGATACTATTTTATCATTTTATAAATTATTTTATTTGATTCACTTTTAGGTCTGTTTGCACAAAAATCACAAACCAGAATTAGAATGAATTTCATTGGTTGGAACCAATGTCATTGGTTGAAACTAGACTGTTTTCGAAATGAAATTCGCTCCTGATTGGTTTGTGATTTCTGTGTGAACAAACCTTTTTTATGAACACAATATAAAGTTAATAGGTAAAAAAGAGATAAAGTTCCTGTTAAGCAGCTTTTCTTGATTATTTTAATTTTGTATCAATTTACGTAATCAAATATAAAATTAGAACAAAGATAATAAGATATCCCCTTAAGCATATTTTCTTGATTTTTATAATGCATTTCCTTGGTAATTTCCATATGATTTGTAGAGTGTTCTAGAGCAGCCCAAAGTACTGGAAATTTTAACTATAACTTGGATCTAAACCGAAACTTTAAAGTACCTCAAGCTTTCTTGAATGTTCCTGAAAGTTTGGTTTGGGGGAATCTCACTATCTTATAACTTTTTTTCTATTAGAGATAGAAAGCTGAAATTCTCAGCAGTTCTTATCCAAGTACAGCAATACAATCCCTGAAAATTTCAGCTCATTTGCTCTTATAGTTCCTGAGATAAAATCGTGTTAAGCAATTTGGGGTGATTTATCAATTTTTCAATTTTTCTGAGTGCCTTTTTTCATAGATTTCGGCTTCAAATCTGAGAATAATTTAGTGTACGGAGTTTGGGGTATGTTGGTTGACTATCAGGATAAAAAATCTCGACAAAAAAAATTTTGAAATTTCATCGTTTTAGTAAGAAGGTACCTACCTTATGATTTAGATTTTGGGAAACTTTGAAAGGTCATAACTTTTTTTCTATTATAGATGGAAAGCTGAAACTTTCACTGAATTTTATCCCTTTCAAGGAACTACAATCCCTGAAAATTTCAGCTCATTTGCTCTTACAGTTTCTGAGATAAAATCGTGTTAAGCAATTTGGGGTGATTTATCAATTTTTCAATTTTTCTGAGTGCCTTTTTTCATAGATTTCGGCTTCAAATCTGAGAATAATTTAGTGTACGGAGTTTGGGGTATGTTGGTTGACTATCAGGATAAAAAATCTCGACAAAAAAAATTTTGAAATTTCATCGTTTTAGTAAGAAGGTACCTACCTTATGATTTAGATTTTGGGAAACTTTGAAAGGTCATAACTTTTTTTCTATTATAGATGGAAAGCTGAAACTTTCACTGAATTTTATCCCTTTCAAGGAACTACAATCCCTGAAAATTTCAGCTCATTTGCTCTTACAGTTTCTGAGATAAAATCGTGTTAAGCAATTTGGGGTGATTTATCAATTTTTCAATTTTTCTGAGTGCCTTTTTTCATAGATTTCGGCTTCAAATCTGAGAATAATTTAGTGTACGGAGTTTGGGGTATGTTGGTTGACTATCAGGATAAAAAATCTCGACAAAAAAAATTTTGAAATTTCATCGTTTTAGTAAGAAGGTACCTACCTTATGATTTAGATTTTGGGAAACTTTGAAAGGTCATAACTTTTTTTCTATTATAGATGGAAAGCTGAAACTTTCACTGAATTTTATCCCTTTCAAGGAACTACAATCCCTGAAAATTTCAGCTCATTTGCTCTTACAGTTTCTGAGATAAAATCGTGTTAAGCAATTTGGGGTGATTTATCAATTTTTCAATTTTTCTGAGTGCCTTTTTTCATAGATTTCGGCTTCCAATCTGAGAATAATTTAGTGTACGGAGTTTGGGGTATGTTGGTTGACTATCAGGATAAAAAATCTCGACAAAAAAAATTTTGAAATTTCATCGTTTTAGTAAGAAGGTACCTACCTTATGATTTAGATTTTGGGAAACTTTGAAAGGTCATAACTTTTTTTCTATTATAGATGGAAAGCTGAAACTTTCACTGAATTTTATCCCTTTCGAGGAACTACAATCCCTGAAAATTTCAGCTCATTTGCTCTTATAGTTCCTGAGATAAAATCGTGTTAAGCAATTTGGGGTGATTTATCAATTTTTCAATTTTTCTGAGTGCCTTTTTTCATAGATTTCGGCTTCAAATCTGAGAATAATTTAGTGTACGGAGTTTGGGGTATGTTGGTTGACTATCAGGATAAAAAATCTCGACAAAAAAAATTTTGAAATTTCATCGTTTTAGTAAGAAGGTACCTACCTTATGATTTAGATTTTGGGAAACTTTGAAAGGTCATAACTTTTTTTCTATTATAGATGAAAAGCTGAAACTTTCACTGAATTTTATCCCTTTCAAGGAACTACAATCCCTGAAAATTTCAGCTCATTTGCTCTTACAGTTTCTGAGATAAAATCGTGTTAAGCAATTTGGGGTGATTTATCAATTTTTCAATTTTTCTGAGTGCCTTTTTTCATAGATTTCGGCTTCAAATCTGAGAATAATTTAGTGTACGGAGTTTGGGTTAGTTGGTTGACTATCAGGATACAAAATCTCGACAAAAAAAAATTTGAAATTTCATCGTTTTAGTAAGAAGGTACCTACCTTATGATTTAGATTTTGGGAAACTTTGAAAGGTCATAACTTTTTTTCTATTATAGATGGAAAGCTGAAACTTTCACTGAATTTTATCCCTTTCAAGGAACTACAATCCCTGAAAATTTCAGCTCATTTGCTCTTATAGTTCCTGAGATAAAATCGTGTTAAGCAATTTGGGGTGATTTATCAATTTTTCTGAGTGCCTTTTTTCATAGATTTCGGCTTCAAATCTGAGAATAATTTAGTGTACGGAGTTTGGGGTATGTTGGTTGACTATCAGGATAAAAAATCTCGACAAAAAAAATTTTGAAGTTTCATCGTTTTAGTAAGAAGGTACCTACCTTATGATTTAGATTTTGGGAAACTTTGAAAGGTCATAACTTTTTTTCTATTATAGATGAAAAGCTGAAACTTTCACTGAATTTTATCCCTTTCAAGGAACTACAATCCCTGAAAATTTCAGCTCATTTGCTCTTACAGTTTCTGAGATAAAATCGTGTTAAGCAATTTGGGGTGATTTATCAATTTTTCAATTTTTCTGAGTGCCTTTTTTCATAGATTTCGGCTTCCAATCTGAGAATAATTTAGTGTACGGAGTTTGGGGTATGTTGGTTGACTATCAGGATAAAAAATCTCGACAAAAAAAATTTTGAAATTTCATCGTTTTAGTAAGAAGGTACCTACCTTATGATTTAGATTTTGGGAAACTTTGAAAGGTCATAACTTTTTTTCTATTATAGATGGAAAGCTGAAACTTTCACTGAATTTTATCCCTTTCAAGGAACTACAATCCCTGAAAATTTCAGCTCATTTGCTCTTATAGTTCCTGAGATAAAATCGTGTTAAGCAATTTGGGGTGATTTATCAATTTTTCTGAGTGCCTTTTTTCATAGATTTCGGCTTCAAATCTGAGAATAATTTAGTGTACGGAGTTTGGGGTATGTTGGTTGACTATCAGGATAAAAAATCTCGACAAAAAAAAATTTGAAATTTCATCGTTTTAGTAAGAAGGTACCTACCTTATGATTTAGATTTTGGGAAACTTTGAAAGGTCATAACTTTTTTTCTATTATAGATGGAAAGCTGAAACTTTCACTGAATTTTATCCCTTTCAAGGAACTACAATCCCTGAAAATTTCAGCTCATTTGCTCTTATAGTTCCTGAGATAAAATCGTGTTAAGCAATATGGGGTGATTTATCAATTTTTCAATTTTTCTGAGTGCCTTTTTTCATAGATTTCGGCTTCAAATCTGAGAATAATTTAGTGTACGGAGTTTGGGGTATGTTGGTTGACTATCAGGATAAAAAATCTCGACAAAAAAAAATTTGAAATTTCATCGTTTTAGTAAGAAGGTACCTACCTTATGATTTAGATTTTGGGAAACTTTGAAAGGTCATAACTTTTTTTCTATTATAGATGGAAAGCTGAAACTTTCACTGAATTTTATCCCTTTCAAGGAACTACAATCCCTGAAAATTTCAGCTCATTTGCTCTTATAGTTCCTGAGATAAAATCGTGTTAAGCAATATGGGGTGATTTATCAATTTTTCAATTTTTCTGAGTGCCTTTTTTCATAGATTTCGGCTTCAAATCTGAGAATAATTTAGTGTACGGAGTTTGGGGTATGTTGGTTGACTATCAGGATAAAAAATCTCGACAAAAAAAAATTTGAAATTTCATCGTTTTAGTAAGAAGGTACCTACCTTATGATTTAGATTTTGGAAAACTTTGAAAGGTCATAACTTTTTTTCTATTATAGATGGAAAGCTGAAACTTTCACTGAATTTTATCTCTTTCAAGGAACTACAATCCCTGAAAATTTCAGCTCATTTGCTCTTATAGTTCCTGAGATAAAATCGTCTTAAGCAATTTGGGGTGATTTATCAATTTTTCTGAGTGCCTTTTTTCATAGATTTCGGCTTCAAATCTGAGAATAATTTAGTGTACGGAGTTTGGGGTATGTTGGTTGACTATCAGGATAAAAAATCTCGACAAAAAAAAATTTGAAATTTCATCGTTTTAGTAAGAAGGTACCTACCTTATGATTTAGATTTTGGAAAACTTTGAAAGGTCATAACTTTTTTTCTATTATAGATGGAAAGCTGAAACTTTCACTGAATTTTATCTCTTTCAAGGAACTACAATCCCTGAAAATTTCAGCTCATTTGCTCTTATAGTTCCTGAGATAAAATCGTCTTAAGCAATTTGGGGTGATTTATCAATTTTTCTGAGTGCCTTTTTTCATAGATTTCGGCTTCAAATCTGAGAATAATTTAGTGTACGGAGTTTGGGGTATGTTGGTTGACTATCAGGATAAAAAATCTCGACAAAAAAAATTTTGAAATTTCATCGTTTTAGTAAGAAGGTACCTACCTTATGATTTAGATTTTGGGAAACTTTGAAAGGTCATAACTTTTTTTCTATTATAGATGAAAAGCTGAA